GATGAGATACGTTGATACAACAACACAACGAAGCAATCACTAAAGCTATCTCATTCACAGTTAGCCCAAAAAGCTTGATAAAGAGAGATTTCTAAACTCCTTATCCAGAAGCAAACTTCTCCTCCTTCCAAAAAGCTATAGTGTAAACACTTGAAGGTTTCCTTGCCTCAAGCACCACACCACGTTGAAGGATATTACTTTTGATCAAACTTATTGATTAAAAGGGGGTAGGTCAACTCTCTTACAAGTTGATCTTGCAAGTCCTATTGTTCGGATCTTGCAGTTGTTGAAGAAGCTTGACCTTCGAAGGAACAACAAAGCCAGCACGAGTGCAATAGCAACATTGGTCTTGTGAAGATATACCGTGCAGAAATTCACACAAGTGTAACTGTTGGTTCATTATTCAACAACCAACTACATAGTGGATTTTGAGGACGTAGAAGGATTACCCCACCTTCGAACCTCGTTAAAGTTTGCGTGTCTCTCTTTCTTATCTTTATTCTTACTAGCAATTATATTAACTGTGAAAACTAACCTATCCATATCGATTAAAATGAAAAATAATGCGCAAACACAAAGGGCCCAAGCCAAGTGCGATTGGAAGCACTTTGGCTTCTAACTCGTTGTTTGGGACAACAAGAATAACAAGGCACGCTCCTGGGATTTTATCTCCCATTCAATGAATTTGAGTAGGGGAGAGAAAAAGAGTCCAAAAAATTATTTTGTGTGTCAAACAATACACGAAAAATATTTAAAGTATATTTTTCTCACCAAAGAAAATTGTGTAATCTTAAAAAATGTTTTAAAGAAATTTTTACACACTTATTTTAAAACTGACTCACTAAAATATTTTAGACAGAGTAAAAGTGATTTTTCAACTGACTCAAAAATAATTTTTATCCCTCACAAAAATAATTTGATTGTGCAGAAGATAATGTCATCCTTACAAAAATTCTTAGACTTAATAAAAAAATCTTCGGAGTCTTCGCTTCACTTCAAAAAAAACTGCGTAGGGGTGAGCGTGAATTTTATCGTCGAAACTTCTTGATGCCCTTCTTTGCTTTTCTCGATCCGAAAAAAAAGTTTTCGAATATCGATTTAATCATCCTGTTTGTCAATCATCAAAACAAAAATAATCCAAAAAATAATAAAGGGGTTTGAACTCATGTCCAACAATTTCCCCCTTTTTGATAATGACAAACATAGTTGAGAAAGAGCAAAGTAAGAGTTCAGAAAATACTTCCTTTTAAGAATAATTCCCCCTGCAAGGTTAGAGAAGTGCAAAAATAATTATCGGAATAATAAGCGGAAGAAAAAAAAAATTGAAAATAATGTTTTCTCAACGATCCTTCCTCCCCCCTTTTGGCATTATCAAACGATAAACTTCCCCCTTAAACAATGCCGGACTATTGAAGGAAAAAGATGGCAAGAGTTTTCTTTAAAAAGCCACAAGAGGACAATATGTTCTAAATAAGAACAATATTGTCACACCAACAATGATATTAATACATAAACAGTTAATATCCACTAGCATCATCGAAAGGAAACATCATCATCCACCAAAAGAGTCATAACAAATAACAATGTATCATAATTAGTCAGGAGAAAATAACAATCAAAGAGAGTTCGCCGGACGAGCTCCTCCGCCAAAGCTGTGACGCGGGCCATGGTAGGAGCAAGATTGCTCAAGACGAGTCATCCTCTCGTTGAGCTGGCGAACGTCATCCCGGATGCACGTGAGAGTATCGAAGATCTTCTTCACCCAAGAAGGTTCCGGTGCTTCTTCTCTCGGACGAGTCCTCCGTTAACGAGTGACGCGCTCCGTGGCTCGACTACCTCCGGCTTGAGATGACTCAGCTTGATTTTTGTTTTGGCTTTCTTCTTCTTCTTCGGCGACTATCAGGTCTAGATTTGGTGCATCATCGCCCTCCTCTCGATACATGATCCGGGAAAACTTGGCTTCAGTGATGAAACACGTCTTCTTGACCGGCACCTGAGTGTCCCGAGTAAAGTCTATTTTGCAATGAGCAAGGATATGCATAATGGGGATGGCAAAGCGGAGATGGGAAAAACGAGTGCCATCGCTAAGTGCAACGATAAAGAAGTGAACCCAATCAAATTTGACATCGTTCAACAGGACGTGAAACAAACGAATATCGTCCTTGTTGACGACGCCATGGTTTGAATCACGGGGCAACAAAACATATGAGAAGATGTATTGTTGGACGCGTTGAATTAAAGTGAGATTAATGACACTCGGGTTGCTAGAGTTTCTAAACTTGAGGTCACGATGATCTAACCCGAGTTGTCGCCATATTGCCTCATCTTGGAATGTTTCATCCAAGTTTTCGGTAATTTCACCGCGACGAAGGCCAAACAAAGA